GAAGATAAAAGCCAAGATTAGAGAAGCAGTCCTTGGTAAAATGACATGCACACAACAAAAGGTTCGAATTGTATTTCTGTGGTATCCTTGAACACAGAGCGTCTTCTCAACATGACGTAAACACACTAACTAGTGGAAGTGTTTGTGGGCAGGTCAGACAGGCGGAGATTATGCAAATATGTTACCCAGTGACGTATACCGGTAACAGGCAAAAGATTCGAAAATATGACGACTCGTTAAGGCGATTCAAAATCGACTCTCTCTTTTGAGAGACAATATCTTTATTTATCTTGCACTTTTTTGATTATCAACTTTGCAGATTGTTTTCATTTAAGGATAGCTACGTTATAAACTGCAAAAGAGATATTTTTCAAAAACCCATATAACAGGCAAAAGATTCGAAAATATGATGACTCGTTAAGGTGATTCAGAATCGACTCTCTTTTGAGAGACAATATCTTTATTTATCATGCGCTTTTTTGATTAACAACTTTGCAGATTATTTTCATTTAAGGATAGCTACGTTATAAACTGCAAAAGAGATATTTTTCAAAAACCCATTGTGTTACCCAGTGACGTATACCGGTAACAGGCAAAAGATTCGAAAATATGATGACTCGTTAAGGTGATTCAGAATCGACTCTCTTTTGAGAGACAATATCTTTATTTATCATGCGCTTTTTTGATTAACAACTTTGCAGATTATTTTCATTTAAGGATAGCTACGTTATAAACTGCAAAAGAGATATTTTTAAAAAATGACCCGCTCTTTAAACACATATTAATGCCTTATTCTGCATGACCATATTTTAGATCCCTTAATTCTACCCCATACCCAAACTTAACAACTACCATACTAACTATTAATAAGTAGCAAACTAGGAATTTGAGGCAAAAGTTCAAGATCCACTCATGCACATTTCACACATCTCAGCAAATAAATGAATTATTTAGCATACATAATAAATGTGATTAATTTTTTTTATCAATTGACAGCCCTACCCTGACTGAAGTCTTGAGGTGTTTGTCTCACCTGTTTGTTTGATGAGCTCCATACATCCATTAGGAGTACATGGGATAAAACAGTCCCCAAGATCACCACGTGCCAGTTTCCCTGCATTTATACTCGTCAATCTGAAGCAAGCAAAGAAACAAACTTTCTTTAATAATTTAAACAGGTTTCATTATTGAATGGAGCACAAAACAATCTGTTGAAAGTAATGTTAAATCAGAATAACACAATTTAATGGCATGTTGTTCAAGAGTGAATTATTTTCTGTACCCATCCACATCTTTCTCTGGAGCCACGCTGTTGATAATCCTTTCTGTATTAATAGTGTGGACGGAGTCAAGGGGCAGCTGGACTATGAGCCCATGAATTTTGGAGTCCTCATTGACTTCCATTACACGGCGCATAACCTTCAGAATGTGTATCAGTTAATTATAAACAGCAAAATCTGAAACAGCTGTTAATAGCAAACATAAAACATGGATTAATGGTTAATGACTCCTTCAAGTGAAGCTGTCCTACCTCATTTTCAGTTGCAGTCCGTGGAAGCTTCACATGTACAGCACTGATCCCGATCTAAAAATCAAGACGGTAATAGTCATTAAAGGGCTCATAAGATGCATTTTTTATTATTTTGTAATGTTCCTTGAGGACAAATTGCATTTTTTTTTTTTTATTCGTCGGTTACTCCAATGTCCAGAAACATACAGACACAGTCTCAAACATACATTAGAGGGAAAAGGGGAAGAAAAAAATATAAAAAAAAAATTTTTAAATAGCATTTTATTTTAAGCATTTTCATTTCAGACATGGTTTTATGTTTACACGGCGCGATGCAACGCAACGCGTAAAAAGACAGTATAAGTCATTATAATCCGTAATTATGTCCCCACTGGATGCTACAAA